TCCCTCTCTGCAACTGGACTCCAGGAGTTCGGCTCAGTGCTTAGCTGTGGGTCTCTGCTTCTGCTTCCACCACATACTGGATGAAGGCTGGAGGATGTCATTTAAGGTCGTCATCAACCTCACTATAGGAGAAGGGCATTGAAGGCAGCCTCTCCATTATTGTTTAGATTCTTAGTTGGGGTCATCCTTGTGGATTCCTGGAGATTTCCCTAGTGCCAGATTCTCGCTAAGCCCATAACGGCTCCCTCTGTTAAGGTGTCTGTTTCCTTGCTCTCCTCCTCTGTTCTAACCCCAGCTCTACATTCCTGACCCCTCACGTTCCCCTCCCCCTTCCTCTCCCCTCCTCTCTCTCCTAGCTCCCTCCCCCCTCGCTCCCAATTTGCTCAGGAGATCTTGTCCCTTTCCCCTTCTCTGGGGGTCCATGTCTGTCTCTCTTAGGGTCCTTGTTTCCTAGCTTCTCTGGAGGTGTGGATTGTGGGCTGGTGATCCTTTGCTCTATGTCTAAAATCCATATATGAGTGAGTACATACCATGTTTGTCTTTCTGTGACTGGGTTACCTCACTCAGGATGGTTTCTTCTAGTTCCACCCATTTGCCTGCAAATTTTAAGATTCCATTGTCTTTTCCACTGAGTAGTTCTCCATTGTGTAAATGTACCACATTTTCTCTATCCATTCTTCGGTTGAGGGGCATCTAGGCTGCTTCCAGGTTCTGGCTATTACAAATAGTGCTGCTATGAACATGGTTGACCAGATGTCCTTGTTGTATGAATGTGCATCCTTTGGGTATATACCTAAGAGTGGAATTGCCCAGCCTCTTGTTAACTTTTTTTTTTTTTTTTCTGGTTAGTTTGTTTTTGTTTTGAAGACAAACAGTCATAGCTCTGGCTGTCCTGGAACTTACAGAGATCTATCTGCCTCTCCCTCCCTAGTGATGGAATTAAAGGCCTGTGCCACCACTGATTGGCCCTTGTTAACTTTTCATTACATCTAATCTATCCAACTATTAATCTCTATATATCTAGTCATCTGTTAATGTATGTATGTATGTATGTATGTATGTATCATCTATCAATCTGTCTAGCATGTGTGAGTGCAGGTGTACCTTAGCACACATATGAAGGTCAGAGTACAACTTGCAGCAGCAGCCTGTTCTCAAGTGGGTCCCGGGTATCAAACTCAGGTTGCCCCTAGCTTCTTGTGGCAGGAACCAGTGGCAGGCATTACCTTCAAGTGACCCAGTTCGAGTGACCTGCAGTTAGTGACTCACTTCAGCTAGCTGAGCCCATGGTACCAAAGATTCTACAAGCTCCTGTAACAGGGACACCAGCTGGAGACTAAGTGTTCAGACATATGGGCCTCTATTCTGTGTGTGTGTGTGTGTCTGTGTGTGTGTGTGTGCGCGAGTGTGCGCCTACACACGCGTGCGATGGCATCACCAAGCACCTTTGTCCACTGAGCCATTTCTCCAGCCCATTTGTTCCCTGCACAGCTACCATTGGTGAGTTCTTTTCTTTTTAATTAATTATGCGAATGTCTGTGGATATGTGAGGGAACTGGATCCCCTGTAGCTGGGGTTGTGGGAGACTGTGAGGTACCTGACGTGGGTGCTGGGAATCGAATCGAGCTTGCCTCTTTTGTGTGTACTTGGTTCTCAGTCTTGCTGGAATGCCCGTTTCAGGAAGGCGGTGACCTGGACTCACCTGTCCACCCCGTATTTCCAGTGCCCAATTATAGTTGCTTAGAGAATACTTGTTGACCGAATAGTAATTACATGATTTTACCAGGAGGTACTATTATCTTTTTTAATCAAGCAAGAAACTGAGTCGCAGGGAAGCTATGTGAACTGGCCGGTGTAAAAAATCCGGTCAGGTTTTTATGTTTTGAGACCGCCTCACTCTGTGGTCCAGGCTGGCCATGATTAGAGGCACGAGTCACCATGTCAGGCTTTCGGTGTAAGATGTGAACTCCTGTCTTTGAGGTTCCAGATCTGGTCTACCCCCACCCTTTCCCCGCCCTAACACCGGGAATCAAACCCTGGACTTTGCAGACCTGTGGCGGTTGGTTGTCTACGTGTCAGGTCCTAGAATTGTCTAGGAGATAAACTTCTGGGCACGTCTGTGAGGGAGTTTCTAGATTAGGTTATTTGGGAAGACCCACCCTACCTGTGGGCAGCATCATCCATGGACCGGGGTCCTGGATACAGTAAAAAGGAGAATCAATCTGAGCATTTATCACTGTACTGGGATTAAAGGTGTGTGCCACTGGCCCCAGCAATGACTTATCTTAGTTTACTAACATTTATTCTTGGTTACATGTATCAGTGTGTGCCTGTTTGTGCACGTGTGGGCAGGTGCCCACAGAATTAAGAGAGGGCAATGGAGGTCCTGGAGCTGGAGTTACAGGTGGTTGTGACTCCTGATGTAGGTGCTGGGAACTGAAGCCCAGTCCTCTGCAAGAGCAACGTGGGCTCTTAACCTCTGCGCCGTCTCTCCAGCCCTGCGACAAGGTTTTGCTTTATCACCCTGGCTGGCCTTGAACTTGTCACCCTCCTGCCCTAGCCTCCCCAGTAGCTTGCGCTCCCCGCCGTGGCTTGGAGCTTGTGTTCTTCATTGGTGTCCTATATTGTGCCCCTCCACAAAGTGAAGAAAGAGAGCCTTGTCCCGGTCTCCTAGGTGCTAGGCACCCAATTCCTTATCCCCACTGAAAATGTCTCGGAAGTGTTGTGGATTCAGATTCATCTCTGTGTGGGAGGCCCTGACTCCTAGGATCTCAGAAGGTGACCTTGTTTGGAGGTAGGCACTTTGCAGAGATTATCGGGTTGAACTGAGGGCATCAGGAGAGGTCCTAGGTCAGAATCCCTGGTGTCGTCATCATGGAAAACTGGGACACAGAGGGCTAAAGAGGATGAGAAGGAGCACAGGGAGGAGCCGGCCATTCATTCCCTTCTTCGGC